ACTTTTGTGTAGTTATTTGATGTATTAAGTGGAATTTGGCTTAAGAAAGCTAAATCTTGCCTTTCAGTGTGATGGAAAATATTGCATAGTAACTTGGTTTTTTCCACAGTGCCACCTTATTTTAGCATTCCAAAGGATTTCGAAGTATGAGTTTTACACAAATGACTTTCTTAAAATAACTAGGCTCTAACTTTGGTAGCATAAATAATCACCTACTGATACATGCATGTATGTAAGACATAGAACAATATTAAGTGGAATCAAAGCTAGTCTCCTGAGAGAGAAACACTTGTGTGTATCCTGAAGGGTAATCATTTGTAGTTGAGGTACAATTATTTTATTTATATATAGCTTTCATTTTAAAAGCATTTGTATTTCCTATTTAGAATTTGCACCTATTTGAAATTCAGGCCAGTTATCACTGGCTCACAGGAGCCATCATTAGGGATTAGGATAGGAGTATCTGATACTATTTAATGAAAGAAATATGCTATTTATTAATCTTATTTAGCCCCAGTAATTCTCACGTTAATAAGTCAAATGGCTTTGAAATTAGGATAAATATAGCTCTATGAATTCAATATTTTTAGCACCATTGTTTACTCAGTTGATTTTTATGTGTTTCTTTCTTTTTGGAATTATGATACTTTGCATTTAGGATCTATATGTGATCTAAGCTAGTGATGCACTCAAACACATACACACACACATGCACATGCGTGCACCTGTGTTTGTTAAAGTTTGTAGGTCAGCAAGTGCCTAGCTATGATCAGCAAAACATTTAAGTTGCTATTTCTGATCTCAGCTGGTTTACTTAATTAATGAGTTTGGGTTTTCTGAGGTGTTGATTTGTTTTTAAAATGGTATTTACAGCCTAATAAAGTAAATTTGTTTTATAATTTGGAAATATTTGCAAAGTATATTTTGTGTGCTTGCTTTCTTTCACCTGCTGAGATCCCTCTGGCCCCTTAATTTTGTGTGTGTGTGTGTGTGTGTGTGTGTGTGTGTGTGTGTGTGTGTGTGTTTTCCCAGAACTGAATACCTGAGACTGAGTCTAGATGGCTGAGAAGAAGCCGGGTCTGGGAAATGAGGCCAGGTTGACAGTGTAAGACAGCTGGTAATCAGGAGTAGACCAGGCCAGGGGGAGCCACTGTCAACAGCATGAAATTGTGGCATCCATAGCACTGGAAGGTAAGCTTTGGTAAGTGGGTAGAACTGGCAGCAACAGAAATCAGGGATACAGAAATATTGGAGTTTGATGGGAGTGATATGAAAAGAGGACACAAAAGGAAAAAATAAGGAATAGTCCAGGTCAGATCAGAGATCAGTTTATAGAAACCGAAAGAAGTATGACACCATTTGAGTAACAAACTTGGGACATTGGGGTAGAAATTCTTTGGCATTTCAGTGCAAATTTTGCTCTAGTCAAGAAGCTTCTTAGGCATTCCCTGCCAACGTAAGAACTAGTTCCAAGGTTGAGCCACCAGTGCCCACTTGTAAAAGTAGGTCATGGGTGTGTCTGCCTGAAAAAGAAAAGGAGGTAGCCTGGCAAGGTCCTGAGAAGAGAGGTTAAGGATGTGTAGCAACACAAGCATAATCAGCACTTTGCTGAGCCCTGTGTGTTCCATGACTCACATACCTTGGTTGTAACACACCCATCTTCCAGGCAGTAAAACCAGTGGGTTAGACCTGGGTCTTAAATGTGTCTGCTCCATCTGAAGGCAGTATAGGGGAATTACTATAAAGAGGGTAAAGATGCATCAGTTTAAAAGTTGCTAAACAGTTTGCATTCTGTATAAAAGTCTTAACTCTCTTTTTAAGGTTTTTCATAGCCAAAAAAAAAGGAGGTCTGTTTGTAAAGGAATGAATTGGAATAAATAATATAAAAGAAGGTTAATTAATGAGAAAAGTACAATTTATTGTTATGTAAATAAAGACTTTTGCTGTATCTTACATATTTGTATGCATATATAGTATATATAAATACATATGCATATTTATAAATTTATATTGCTTGTAAATTGCTGAGACTTAAGAGACCACTAATTGTTAATTGTTTTTAACTCAATGATTTCAGTCTTTTTTGGACATTAGTACATGATTACTTTGTCTACCTTTGTTTCTGTTTATGTTACAAAGTTAGATAAACTTACAGGAAAGAAGAACTCACTAGCCTTAAAATCTCATTTATATCTTTTTAGACTCACTTTTAATCATATATGTACTTGGCAATGTATTTGCTTTTTAACTTACATTTTAATGATATAAAATGAATTTACTTAGTGTTTATTTTTGATGGCTCTATTGTATGGTGACGTAACACATTTTGATTGTAATTCTTTTATTCTTGACCATTTGAGTCAATAATATTTTTTTCATTATTGGAAAATTGAACATTTTTTAACAAATTATTTTTGGGTTGTTTCCTTGGGGCATTTTCCCCAAAGTCAGATTAACAAGTCAGAAGGCAGGAACAATTTTATAGCTTCTATTACATATTGCCAGATTGTTCTCCAGAAAGATTGAGCTAATTTACCACTCCACTATCAATGTATAAAGCACAGCCCCAGTTTTAGATCGTTTAGACAATCTGGGCACACATGAAAAGTATAATTACGTTTTTACTCTGAGGCCTAGCTGTAAAGATAGCTCTCATAAGCAAACTCAATATATGGACTTTGAAATTATAGAACTGATAAGGCATGTATTTTGTTCTTCGGAATATGGATGCTTGAAGTTAGGGACTTTTGGGAATGGAGAATGTGTGGTGTGGAGGTAGAGAGTCCCTTTGGACCAATGTGGTATTGTGATTGCATTCTATTGATGTGTTGGTAAGGCCCTGAACAAAGGGATGGGGGAGAACCAGGTCCTCGTGTTTCTTTGGCCTGGAAAGTCACTAGATGCAAGGAATCCTGGAGGGCTTGGTGGAGGTTGCAGGATAGTGGGTACATTTTGGAGTCAGGCATACAGCAAAGGAGAAGAGGATGTCTAGTGGCTGTCCTGTGGCCACTAGTCAATGGGCCAGGTACTCCCTGGGTAGAGGCTAGCCAAAGTCCTTCCTTATTAAAATGTCAACTCAAGGGTATTGGGTGATTTTTTTTTGCCTTTGTAACACAGCATTATCAACTTTATAATGGAAGTCAATAGAGATTATAGATTCAGTGGAAATTCTTTTCTTCTGTATGGATGGACTTGCCTGGTCTATAAAGATTTTTTTTCCTGTTTCTGACAAGGGACAGACTTAGACCTTTACATGACAAATAAATTTCCTTCATTGTTCATGCATGCTGACATAGCATTGTACCTTTGCCAGCTTCCCCAGTGACTTGCAAAAATTCCATAACCTAAGTACTTACACAGAACGTGTAACAGCACATCACAGAACTGGACCCAGAGAGTACTGCAAAAGACATGTTGATTCCATGGAATTCAGAAAGGCAAAAAGGGACAAAGATAAAGTCATTGATACAATGTTTGGTTATTTAAAAATTGTATGTGTATATTTTCAAGGGAATAAATGGAATGAGTATTATACTAGAACATGAATATTATACTAGAAATTCTAAGTTATAAAGTTAAATGGAAGTTGAGATAGAAAATTGTTTTAGTTTCCAGGTGGCAAAGTGGAAGTAAGTATCTATTGGCAGAAAAAGGTGAGAAACCTTCAAATGCTAGCAGTGGGAAAGGAGAGAAGCTGACCAGGGCTGTGAGGTGACCTATGTAAGGATTTTTTTTTTAATTGTTAATTGAATTGTTTGTGGTAAAGTATATATAACAAAATAGGCCATCTTAATCAATTTTTTGTTGTTTTTTGTTTTGTTTGAGACAGGGTCTTTCTCTGTTGCCCAGGCTGGAGTGCAATGAAACAATCAAGGCTCACTGCAGCCTCAACCTCCTGGGGCTGAAGTGATCCTTCTACCTCAGAGTCTCAAGGCATACACCACCATATCCAGCTGATTTCTAAAGTTATTTTGTAGAGACAGGGTCTCACTATTTTGTCCAGGCTGGTCTTGAAGTCCTAGGCTCAAGTGATCCCTCTTCCTTGGCCTCTCAAAGTGCCGGGATTATAGGTGTGAGTTACTGCACCCAGCCTCATGTTTTAAGTGTATAATTTAATGGCATTAACAACATTTCTAATTGTCACCTCTGTTTGTAAAACTTTTTAATCACACCAAACTTTAGGGATTTATTTTGTAATTGGTTGTCTCAGAATTTTTCAGCTTAAAGGAATATAGCATTCAAACTCTTCATTTTTTAGTTTTAGTATATGCCATATGTTAGGGTTGATTCTACTAGTTATATGTCTCTTGTTCATCAGTTTCCTTTTTTCTTTTCTGTTGCTGCATGTTTGGTTGAAGAGGGCATCTATCCAAGTAGGGAAGGGAGGATATTGTTCTGTCAAGGGCGTATGATAGCTGTGTTCCTCTGCTGAGATCTTCAAAGCAATTCTATGTGTAGGAGAAAATGGGTAGTAAAGTTTCCTTTTCCTTATTTGATGCATTTTAAAATTAAAAAGCATATTATACATCAACAATTTAGAAAAAAAAATTAAGAATCTGTCATCACTTTGAACATAAAAATGATTCTTTTTGCATATTTTTTCACATACGTCTTTGACAGCGTTGATTATTATGCATCTAACATCTACAAATAGCTTGCTTTTTTCATCTAACATATCACCATTTTTCATTTTTCTCAATTGTGTTCATAATAATCCAAAGAATGCATGTAGCTTAATTTATATAGTCATACTATTTTCTTCAATATTTAGATTGTTGAAATTTATAAATGTATAAGTAACCATCTTCAGACATCTTTCGATAGTTTAACGCCTTCATTTTAGTGTTTGAGAGGGAGACACACACACACAGTGCTCACACATCTCTTGTTGTGGGCAATGGATCCTGCATTTTTAGTGAAGATTTGGCAAATTCAGGGTGATGTGTTTTTATAATTATGATAAACATCAGATGGATTACAAATGTTTGATTTGGTTACAGGTTATGAAAATCTTGGAGAAGCATGACCCCTTGAAGAACACCCAGGCAAAATACGGGTCTGTCCCTCCAGATGAGGCCAGTGCTGTGCAGAATTATGTAGAACACATGCTCTTCTTGTTGATTGAAGAGCAAGCCAAGGATGCTGCAATGGGGCCGATTCTGGAATTTGTGGTCTCTGAGAACATCATGGAGAAACTTTTCCTTTGGAGCTTGAGAAGGGAATTTACTGATGAGACTAAAATTGAGCAGCTAAAGATGTATGAGATGTTGGTCACTCAGTCGCACCAGCCTCTGCTCCACCACAAACCCATTCTGAAGCCTCTGATGATGTTGCTGAGCTCTTGTTCAGGAACAACCACCCCCACTGTGGAGGAGAAGCTGGTTGTCCTACTCAGTCAGCTCTGTTCCATTCTTGCCAAAGATCCATCCATTCTAGAACTCTTCTTCCACACTAGTGAAGACCAAGGTGCTGCCAACTTCCTCATCTTCTCCCTTCTGATTCCCTTCATTCACCGAGAAGGGGCAGTAGGCCAGCAAGCTCGGGATGCCTTGCTATTCATCATGTCTCTCTCTGCAGAGAACAGCATGGTGGCCCATCACATCGTGGAGAACACCTACTTTTGTCCAGTAAGTCTCTCTCATTGGCATATTTTACACTCACTCCCTTTTTTCTCTTCTGTTACTAATGATGAATACTTTCTTATTCCCTCTTTCCTCCCAGCAAGTTGTATTTGGCACTTCCTATGCAAAGATGTTTAGAGGAAATCTTTGGGAGGGAGCAGAGGAATCTAAGTTGAGGTGCTTTTGGCTGAGCAGTGTCAGCTCATCATAAGCCAACAGAGGAAGCTAGATGTCTTACCATTTTTGGTTAATTTTTACTGCATTAAGAATGATTTTAGTTTTTCTAGGAGCACATCCTGAGAGATTGGTAAAACCTATACTTTCTAATTCTTAGCTTTTCAGGTTGATTTTTCTCTGAAGAATCATGGCATGTAATAAGACCCCACTGCTGGTTTCACAAATTAATTAGTTTCTCAGCAAGAAAATGACCGCTAGTTTTGTTGTACCATTTGAAATTAAGTTTTAGTGTGTTTTATTGTCATAGGAACATGGGGTGGTAGGGTTCAACAGTGTGCAGGGGCCACACTGACAACACCAAATGCTGGCAAGGATGTGGAGGAATAGGAACTCTCATTCTTGCTGATGGGAATGCAAAATGGTGCAGCCACTTTGGAAGACAGTTTGGCAGTTTCTTACAAAACTAAACATACTCTTACCATATGATCCAGCAATTGTGATCCTTGATATTTAACTAAAGGAGTTGAAAACAAAAACCTGCACACGGATGTTTATAGAAGCTTTATTCCTAACTACCCAAACTTGGAAGCAACCAAGATGTCCTTCAGTAGGTGAATAGATAAAGTGGGGGTATATGCAGATAATGGAATATTTTTCAGCTAAAAAGAAATGAGCTGTCAAGCCATGAATAGACATGGAGGAACCTTAAATGCTTACTACTAAGTGAAAGAAGCCAATCTGAAAAGGCTGCCTACTATGTGATTCCAACTATATGACATTCTGGAAAAGGCAAACATATGGAGGCAGTAAAAAGATCATTTTTTCCCCATGAGCATTGGGGTAGGGTGAAGGATGAATAAGCAAAGCATCGAGGATTTTTATGGCAGTGAAATTACTTTGCATGATTCTAGAATGGTGGGTACATGTCAATAAACATTTGTCCAACCCCATAGAATGAAATAACACTGAGTGAGCACTCATGTAAACTATGGTTTTTGGGGTGACTATAATGTGTCACTCTAAGTTCAGTTGTAACAAATGTAGCATTCTGGTAGGGGATGTTGATAATGGGGAGGCTATGCATGTGTTGGAACAGGGGGTATATGGGATATCTCTGTACGTTTCAGTTTTGTCGTGAGCCTTAAACTGCTTTAAAGAAAACCTCTTAAACACGGCAGTTTTGAGAGGGAGCCATATGAGGTTTGGGTTTTAGCTTATTTGAATTGTTTAATTCAATTGTGTAATTCTGCTGTTAAAGGAGAGCAGATATTGTAACAAATCGAAATATTCAGGTGGTTCACGTGATCAATATGCAAAAGGCATTTAGAAAATACCATTTACAAAAGCAACATAATCATATGGTATGTTGAAATAAATCTAACAAATACATGAAAAGCCTTTATGGAGAAAATTGTAAATGACATAAAAGATTTAAATAAATAGAAAGCTCTACAGCTTGAAGACATTGTGTAGAGGAGACATTCCTGCAGATTAATCTACAAAGTCGATGCAATTTATGTTTTAAAAACTTTTTATTATGAGAAAAAGTAAAATACAGAAAATTTAAAACGCTAAAATGAATAACTATATTCACACCACCGAGATTCGAAGTTGTTAATATTTTGCCATTCTTTGGTATTTTATGCTTTTCATTTGTTTTTGTTGTACCATTTGAAATTAAGTTACAGACATTAGATACTTTAGTCCGTATTTCCTATGAATGGGGACATTCTCCCACATAAGCATAGTACTATTATTGTACCTAAGAACATTATACAATAATTCCTTAATACAATCTAGTATCCAGTTCTCTCATTATGCCCCAAATTACTTTCATGGCTTTTTTCTCCCCCTTTGTAGAGTCCAATAAAAGATATACATCTAGCTATCAGGTCTCTTTAGTCTCTGTTAATATAATAACAGCCTGCCACTTTTCTTCCCCTTGACATTGACTTTTTAAGAGACCAAGCCATTGTCTTATAAAACACTCCCACATTCTGGGTTTGTTTGATTGTTTCTTGTGTAGTTTGACTTGTCCCTACCCCTGCATTTCTTGCAAATTGGTCTTAGGTCTACATTCCAAGTTAAATTTAGGTTAAATATTTTTGGCAAGGATACTTTACAGGCCATGCTACATACCTACTGATTACAGCAAGGGGCATGTGTTAAGTTGTCCCACTATTGGTGATGCAGTGAGATGCCAATGAATACTTATTAGAGTGGTAAGTATTAAGTGGTAACTGTTAGACATCTCATAACACCAAGCGTTGTCAAGAGTGTGAAAGAAACAAGAACTTTGAGAATATCGATTGGCATAGTAACTCAGGAAAGCAGTATGGCAATGTTTGGTAAAACTGAGTATTTGCATATGATCCTGCAGCTTTCCTTCTAGATATCTGGCGTGGAGAAATCTGGCAGTTATTTACAAGGATACGTATACAAAGATGTTCAATAAAACTGATTTGAAAAAACAGAAAAATAGAAGTACATGAAGTGAAAGATAAGCTGGCTTATTAATATATCAGTGGAATACTCTTCAGCATTCAAAGTGTACGAATAATATATATTATCATGTAACTACATGTGTGAACACCAGTAAATCAAAAAACATATTATTTATTTATTTAGACAGAGTCTTGCTCTGTCACCCAGGCTGGAGTGCAGTGGCGTGATCTCAGCTCACTGAGACCTCCGCATCCCGGGTTCAAGTGATTCTCATATCTCAGCCTCCCGAGTAGCTGGCACTACAGGCATGTGCCACCATGCCTGGCTAATCTTTTGTATTTTTAGTAGAGACGGAGTTTCACCATGTTGGCCAGGCTGATCTCGAGCTCCTGACCTCAAATGATCTGCCTGCCCAGCCTTCCAAAATGCTGGGATTATAGGCTTGAGCCATTGTGCCCGGCCCAAGTTTACATAAAAATCTAAAACACAGAATCTTAGTATATGCTGTTTTTTGGATATATATGTATACAGTAAAAATACAAAAATAACCACAATAATAATATATGCTAAGTTCAAGACTGGTTTCTTGGAGGTGAAGGAAGGAGAAGGGATGGTAATGAGATTGGAGTAGGGTGTATTTGTAATTTTTATTGTTTGAAAAAAATCAGAGTATTCTCAAGAAATTTTGGCAGAATGTTAAAATCTGTTAAGTCTTGGTGATGGGTTTCTATTATGTTTTGTATATTTTTGGTATTTCATAATTTAAAAATTTAAATATAACAAGACTGTTTTTAATGTTTAGTTTTACATTTAACTGTGTCATAAGCAGGTTTTACTGAGCGTTGCTTTTATAAAAATATATTTTAAAACACTATAGGGTTCATTAAAGTTGGAGGGAAAATAACATCTCCAGCTGACCTTGTTTGCTAGAATGGAACACGAGCTTCGTTGTGTTAAGTTGCCCCTCAGGATAGATCCCATAATCTCATTTGTACCAGTTTTCTATAATTACATCTGACAACATAATTAAAAAAAAAGGGCTCTTTATGTTGAAGATAAAAGCATACTCTATTAACCATCCAGCTAAGGACCACAATTGACAAAAAGGTTTCTCTAATTAGTATGATTGTCAAAGTGTGTTAGCATCAGGCTGTTGGAAGAGTAATGACTCTTTCAGGAAACTGGACCATTTTTGGAAACCTTTACAGTTGATAGGAAGAGCTCTAGTTCTGCTGCCTCTTAGCTCAAGATGTGCTTTCCCAGGAGAAGGAGGAGAATGAAGATACTCTAGGGAACAATTTGGTGCCAACAAAAGGATGAGGACTAAATGACCCTGTCACTTTTTTTTTTTAACCAAATATCGATGGTTAATCTCCTGCCACTGTGTATATATTGGCATATGTAGAAAACAGTGTATACATAAATCAAGTAATGCAAATTAAAGCAAGCGACCTTTAGGTACACATCCGCAGGTAGAATATTATTTGTCTCAAATCCAAAATTTATGAGGCTTTTTATTTTGGCAAGTTGTATCAAATAGTTCCTACCAGGTGTTATGCTGTGAGCTTCAGACTAAAGCCATCTGCCAAAAATCTTTGTTTGCTAAAATTAACCAGATATCATTAGATGTTTAAAGTTAAACATTACTTGTTCATTGTGCTGTGCGTGTCATCTTTTTTTCTTTTTTTTTCTTTTTTTTTTTGTATGTCATCTTTCTTTCCTTCATTGGAAACATTTCTATTGTGTAAAACATTATGCCAATCTTGGTACATGCATTATTTTCTTTAATCCTGGCAACAACTCAGTGAAGAAATGGAAATTTAGAGAACTTTAATAACTGCCTGTCAATGGCAGAGCCTGGTTCAAAACCACTTTTGTCTGATACTAAAATCCTTGGTCTCAGCAACTGCTACGCTATACTGCTGCCAGGGAAGTTGTTTGCTTTTTTGTCTCCTGTTATCCTTATGGTTTTATATGGTGATTAGTTTCTTTTAAAAAGAGATTCTTGAGAGAAAATAAGTGAAAAATACTGGGTTAATACTTAATGTGTTGGGAATAAATGGAATGTTTTCCAATTTTTTTTGTTTTGTTTTCTGGATGGGAATCCTAAGATCAATAAAAGGCTAAAATAATGGATGGGAATTTTATATTTAATTAACTGTTGAATACATCTGTATTTAAACTTTTTATAATTTAATTCTAAGTTAAAAATGAAATTTAGCAGTAAATAGAATGTGCTATTCATCTCTTAACCTAGAAAAGTTACCTGCAGATCTGCTGTTGCCTTTCCTTTTCCTTGTCCTATTCCCATAGCACTGCATATCTCCTTTGGTAGTAATTCTCTTTCTTGCATTTATTAGTTTATCCGCCATCTTCTCCATCTCTGCTGGTCTGACTTGTTCACTACTCTTTCCCCAGGACCAATCATGCATATATCTGGCCCACAGTTTGTATTTTAGAAATATGTGCAGTCTGGGTGAATGAATCTGAACTCTGAGCACAGCCTAGGAAGGGAGGATATGATAAATACCATAAAGATTTAGAATCTTGTTCCTAAGACTGTAATACTCTTTACTCTGCAGAATATTGTCCCCCCTGTTTCTTTGCCATTCTGAAGGAGATAGCAGAGACACTTTTCTTAGTGGCAGGAAGATGGCAGGACTTCCTGTTCAGCTGTCACTTTTGTACAGGCAGTGTCCTTCTGTTCTGGGAGTGTCCTTGTGCATAGAGAGTATCCTTCTGTACAGGGAATATCCTTCTGGATGGGCAGCCTTCTGTTCACATCTCAACCATGCCCTTTCAGGATACCCGTTTTAAAAAGTGAATATTACGTAGGTGTTATTTTTAATTACTGTCACTGATGTATGTAATTTGAAAATTAATGTTGCCGTAATTATATTGATATACTGAATAGTTATTCCCAGCTTTTTAGTCAGACAAATTAAGCCTGTCTTTATGAATTCATCTTCAAAGCCTTAAAGTGGTTAAGAAATCAGGAGTGTACAGAATTAAAGCCTTTGTTCTGTGGTTAATTTAGCATGAGTCAGCAAATGTAATTGATTTTAAAAATGTGGCATCAAGATTAGATTTCTCTTTGAGGAGAACTTTTGGTCTCTGTTCTCTTTTGCCAGAGGTTTCTAATTTATAAGAAGCAACTCATTTGGGTCACATTCAAAACTGGAATTAAAGTGATTTGTATGGGCATGTTCACTTTAAATAGGGGACATCTCCTTTGGGACCACAGATGCCCTGATTTTTTAAAAAAGAGATAAATGTACTGTCTTGTATACTGTTGTGTTTCCTGTACTTAACATAGTACCTGGCCTGAAATAAGTGTTCATTTTTTTTTTTTTTTTAATGAGTGAGTAAATGAATGAGTGATTAAAGGTTGCTGGGAAATAGAACAGAGAAATGTAGATAATTTTTTATTTCCCTAGTACTGAAATGGTTCATTTATTCATCTCCCTGTCCTTTATACTCTACTGGGAGCTTCTATATCAACTCCCCAACCTCTCCCACACCTTCTTATGACTTCATATCGTCTCTCCATGTTAAGACCTCTCCGACCTGTACTCTGTTGTTGAGTTGGGTATGTTATTCATAGGAAGGACTCCTGGCATCTGAAACTCAACATACCTGACTGGACAAATCATCCATACCTCCAGTGTGGACTGGAATGAACAAGTCAGACCAGGAGAGATGGAGAAGATAGGCAATACACTAATACATGCAAGAAAGGTGATTGCTACACAAAGGGATACAGAGAGTGCTGTGGGAACAGGACAAGGGGAAAAGGGAGGCAACAATAGGTCTACAGATAATTTTTTTCCAAGTTTAACATACCTAGGCCCACACCTTCTTCTGACTTTCTGTTTGTGATGCCAGGCACTGTGGATTATTTTGTCATATCTCAACTGTCTAAATCTCCCTTTCCTTCTTCTCTCTCTAGTTTGTATGGCTTGAGGTCCCATACATGTTGATCCCTCTGTCTCTAGCCCAGAGCTCTTTCTTAAGCATCAGTCCCACATATCTGAATACTGGGCTCTCCATTTGGATGCCCCACATGCTTCTTGTGGTGTCCTATAAAACCCTGCAGGATCTGATTCCCGTTTACCCTGCCAGTCTCTTTCCACCTGTAATTCTGTACTCTAACAATACTGCGCTTCTCTTAGTTCCTGGAGAATACCATCTTTTCTTTCTCCTTTGAGCTTTTGTACACACTGTTTTCTCCACGTGGCATATTCTTCCTTACCCCTCCTCTTTTTCTGGATAACCCCTACTTATTCATCACTTCTTCTGAGAATGTTTCCTGCTGCCAGCCCTCCAAATCTAAGTTAAGAGTCTTTTGTACACCACCAGCACCATCTATTTTCTATTATGTATTCTGAGCATTTCTAACACTGTTTTAATTGCCCGTTAATCTCATTGAGACAGTGAGATCAATCAGTATGTCACTATTTCTTTTCTGGGCCTGCCTCATTAAATTTTCTTGAATGTTTCCATCTCATTCAATGCCATTGTCACCTCAGGGTTTGTGCTAGATCAAAGCCTTTTGTAGCTGACCATTTTTTTTTTTTTCTTTCGAGGTACTCCAACTCTCTCTCCCAGGCTGGAATGCAGTAGTCCAGTCTTGGCTCACTGCAACCTCGGCCTGCCAGGCTCAAGGGATTCTCTCTTGCCTCAGCCTCCTGAGTAGCTGGGATTACAGGCTTGTGCCACCACACCCAGATAATTTTTGTATTTTTAGTAAAGACTGGGTTTCGCCATGTTGGTCGGACTGGTCTCAAACTCCTGGCCTCTAGTGATCCACCCACCTCAGCATCCCCAAGTACTGGGATTATAGGTGTGAGCCACTGCCCTTGGCCCTGTAGCTGACTTCTTTGTATCCATTCTGTGCCATCCCTGGCCAGCCTATACATATCTGGCAAGTCAGGATCTTCAAGCTGCTGCTTAATCAGTATCACTTCCCAGTTGGAAAGCCTCCAGTACTCTGAAATTCATTTTTTCTCTGGTTTTATATTTACAAGGTAAAATCAACAAGCATTCAGCATTAAGTGTGCTATCTTCCTACATTTCTGTCTCTATTAAAGGCATCACCATTTTCTTAGTGACCAAGTTGGGTGAGTTGACAGTTTTGAGTTCTTATTCCACTCACCAAGCCCAAATGCTATCAATTTAAATTTAGAAACAGAGCACTAAGGGAAGAAGAAACCTCTAAGAGTTTTGGATTAATGTCAGACCTATAGACGGCATGGTTAGATCACCCTCATATCCACCTTCCATGTGATACTCAAATTTTATTTCCTCCTTTCTTTTCCTAGTGCTGATGCCTCCATGTAGACTCACTTTATCTCTGCTTGAACTTATCATCACATCTAACTGATTCCTGCCCCCCAATTCTTTCTCCTTGCTATTGTTTCTGAAGATCAGATGAGAAAATATATATGGAAGTGCTTTCTAAATTGCAAACATGCAGCTGTCAGTCATGACCTTAAACATGCAGGGAATTGCATGGAATCTTTCTGATAAAGATCATGGTTTCTATGTATGTGACTTTCTGTCCTGGACCACCTTGAAACAGGGCATTCTCCTCTAGACTGGCATATGTGCCTTCTCTGTATTTGCACTAGTTGGATTGTACTATAGCATTTTGTTTATGAATTTATTTCTCTCTGCAACTTCTCGATGCCGGAATAACATTTTATTCATCTTTGTGTGTACTCTCCTTACACATAGCCCAGCATAATGCCTGGCACATGAGAGATGAGCAACCCATATCAACCACGTGTGTATTAGCCAGATAGTTCTGGTATTGCTGTTCCTTCTGCCGGAATTGTCCTTCCCTACTGTCTCCACTTGTTTGCATCATTTTTAGCTGGCTGATGGGCTCTCTAATACCTTGCTACTTCAACATGCAGTCTTGCCAGCTGCCTTGGCATCACCTATGAGCTGTTAATTGCAGGTTGAGAACTTTGGGAAAGCATTTATTTTGTTTTTATTTCTGAATGCAGGTACTTGCAACTGGGCTCAGTGGCCTCTACTCTTCCCTGCCTACAAAGCTAGAAGAGAAGGGCGAGGAATGGCACTGCCTTCTGAAAGATGACTGGCTTCTACTTCCTTCTCTGGTCCAGTTCATGAACTCCCTGGAATTTTGCAATGCAGTCATACAGGTACCAGAGTACGATAAAGGATCCCTTTGCTATGGCTTCATTCAGAGCACAAGCACAGGATTAACTTAAAAACGTTCACTATTAAAAATATGTTTATGGAATATTGGTGCTTTAAGCCAACTGAATGTCTTTGAATGAGTGAAAATTTTAGCTTGTAGGTTTCTGGAAGTTTTAACTGAGAAAAAAATGAGATTTTCTTTATCTTCTTTATAAAAGGTGTTAATTCTGTTTTGATTATCTACTTAACCATCAAAAATAAGTTCAATGCCTGACTCATTAAATATATATTTTTAGGTTTCTAAGTACTCCAAATTATACCACTTTTACTTTGAGGTCTTCTCGGGAATCTGCAAAGGAGAACACTTTATTTTGTTTAATGGTGCATACTACATAAAGAATATTGTTATCCCAATTGAATTTAGAAGAAGTTAAACATTTTCATTGCAGCACAAATTAAATTTGCTTTGAAATTGGTCTGTTTGGCGGGGGGAAAAAAAACTACTGAACTCTTGTGTATTTGGCTTCTTGATTAGATTTTACCTTTAGATTTCTTGTTACTGTTTTCAATAAAAATCAGATTTTATACATATTTAAGGATGTGGTAGGTTTTCATAAAAAATGTTTTAGTTCCATATAGCATAAATATTACCTTAGTATTGGATTTATTAAGAAATTACGTTTTCTTTACAGTGATTGTAGGATGAAAAATGTTAGTTATAATCTGTTTATCTACCAAATAAAGAAATAGCTTCTGGAAGAAAATACAAGTAAATTATTTTAGTTCCATCTCATTTTTATTGCGAAGTCAAAGGAAGTTTTATTTATGTATAAGATAAATGGATTATGTCTTATTTTTTACTTTAATATTGCAGTCTATCAACATTTTCTTGCAGGAGTTTGTGGAAATAAAAAAGATGGAAGTACTATTAGTTCTTTACCAAAAACTTACACATACACAGAGATTATCAGCAATTTAAAGATCTAGCCTCACTTCCCTAGAAATTGCTTTTTACTTTATTGTTTGACTTTCTTCTTCTTTTTCATCTTTTTTAAGAAAGAGAAGTAAAGCTAATGGGCATGGTAAGAACAGGGAAATTATATATTTTATACTGTATTTTGACATTGAAACCATATACTTTAAAGATTTTTTGTTTGGGGAAGACTACTGAAAAGGTTACTTATAAAAGATATTAGTAGAGATTATCCACACTAAATATGTTTTGGAAATCAAATATGAGAATATTATACCTCTGATAATGTTTTCTGCTTTTGAATATTATGTAATTTTCTGAAAATATTTTTTAAATGTCTTTCTTTTAATAAAAATGGCTATCAGGAAATACATATTCAAAATGAGAAATTTTTTTTCTATTAACAAAATAATGTATCTAATTGTTCATTTTGACAGTTATACTCAGTTTTTAAAATTAGTTACAGGTTAAGATGTAACTTAGAAGAAAGTAAGGGGCAAAAATTATACTTTCCAGTTTATTAACTTTAATTTATGAATCCTTATACATACTCAGTATTTATTGTCTTTTTTTCCAAGCACACAGTTCAGAATTACCAATATTTTCTTTGAAAGTTCAACTTGTACAAATTTTCACCAAGCTGTTTATACTGGAATAAGCTATTTGAAAAGCTTACATGATAATATGAAGTCCGATTTGTTCCTTAATCACAGAATAAATGGCTAAAAATTGGATTTCCCTTTTGAGTTCATGATGTACACAGAATTGTTTTAAGAAGAACTGAAGAGTGGACTTTTTGCCTTTTTCATGACTATCTGCCTCCCTCTTAGGTGGCTCACCCCTTGATTCGAAATCAGCTTGTCAATTACATTTACAATGGATTTTTGGTACCAGTCTTGGCTCCTGCTCTCCATAAGGTCAGTGATTGGCTTATGTAATCTTCTGTCTCTGTAACATAAGTGATAGACACTGAGGAGGGTAAACACAGTGTAATTGATTTGGTGGTGATTTTAGACTTATTTTTCTTCTCATTCCATCCATATTTCTTAGCAATATCAAACATGGATCTTAAAATGGCCACAGCTTAAATCTGATGGGTTTCATCTGGTGTCATAGAATACAGTATTGTGAGTGTCAGGTAGGACAGTCAGCTTAAAGGAACATTGGCATAGAATCTGTCTCTGTGCCTGCCTCACTTCATGGGTAGTGGCTGCTTGGAACTGTCAAACTGTCCTCCAAGGCTGAGTCTGTCATAGAAAATGCAAGGTCTGCCGTGGGCATGGAGAGGCGCAGTGGTAGCACAAGTGCCATAGATTTGCCATCTACTTAATGGAACATAATTTTTTATTGTAACAATTTTGTGACAGCAAAAATTAAAGTGAAGCCAAGTTAAGACCCCATCAAAGGTTGGCTGTCTCATTAGCACCACTCTGAATTTCTTATGACTCTCTCATTTTGTATAATAAATCAACTGATATGTTTTCCATTGTGAGCTGTTAGGAGACACCCCTGTGCCTAGAATTCTGATTTTCAGTTTTTTCTTCACTAAGTAAAGAGACTGCTGCAGTATTTAGTTCAGAGGATCTTTGTCAAGATTTTGGAATCACACCTCTGACAGGGACAGAAGCAAAGAGCAACTTGATCATATGTTGCTTTGATGGAATGCCCACCATTCTGCATCCTGAAGTTCAATTTCTATGGGCTCTTATTTTACAGAATCCAAAAATACCTGATTATGGCAACTTTGAAACCTTGCCATCCATGCTGATGGGGTTTCTGGTTTAGAGCAGGTCTTGACAGAAGATGTTTATCCCTTACTATTTAGTGCCTTTCCAGTGTAGTGGCCATGTTTTCCAAACCAAACAGGGTACTTGGTTTGACTTGGATTTTTATGTTATATCTAGGTTCAAAAGGTCATCTTTGATGTAGTTTAAACATAAAAATACTGAGGTTTCCATGTTGTTTTAGTAGTTTATGGGCACAAAGGAACCAAGTCTGTGAAATTAGATCTCTCTTGGAAAATAGAGGATTAACTTTGGAAAATACAAAATTTGTATTTGTTTCTAGGTTAACTTTGTGTTTGCCAGTATTTTGTTGTTCCAGGGATGGGACAGGTGTCTTGCACTGAAGACCTCTAAGCCTCTGTTTGCATGAAAGAATTTTCCTCTTCAGTGGAACACAAGAGTAGTATAGAAATTCTTTGGCAGTAATTATTCATATGTACTCTCACACGTTTAGACTTTCTTCTTCATTTATTTCCATCCTTTTCCTCATTGACCTATTGACATAAAATAATTTCCTGTCATTATTATAATAGTGATAATTATGATACTATTTGTTCAGGAAATTTTATGTTTTGTAATTAGTACACTTTAATGTTACAAACAATAGTGATAACTCTATCCATAATTGAGCATGAGAGCCACCTCGGAGAGCTGTTATGAGGATCTTACTGGTCACCTCACACTTCTTCATAGGAGTGCTCATTTAGCACAAGGAGAGTTAAATCATTACATGTGCGATTACTTGCTTAATGTCTGTCTTCCCAGTGGCATGCACACTTTCTGGTATGGCATATTATCACATGTGTTTTCATTGGGATATCTCCAATGCTGAGCACAGTACCTTAGACTTAGGAGTCTGAAGAAACAACACACAAATGGAATGTTTGTTAAAGTGCCAACAGAGTACTGGCACTTAGTACCTTCCCAGACGGTGGTTCGTAAGAGAATAATAACTAGCATTTGATCTAGCACTTTACATACGTTATGTGATATCCTCAGTTGCGCCCATAATTAAAATGTGAGAGTTTTAAAACTATAGAGTTAATATATGCTTATTGTAAAAATGAGAAAGAGTCAATACTGAATATGTAAAATGAAAAGCGAATGTTACTGTATTAAGTTTGAATTTCCAACCTCTAATTAAGATCCCTTAACTTGTGTACATTGCTCACAATTTCTCTTAGGGCTATATAGCAACTAGGGAGAACAAAGATGGATTTTTTTTTCTTCTTAATTAATTTTTCTCCCTGTTCTCAATCTGTTGTATGTTTGTTTGCTTTTTTATCATTTGTTAGGGAAGGAGCAGGCTAGGGAAGGTGAACAGCCGCTCCTCTGGCTATTGGCTCCCTATGTGGTTGATGAAGAAAGGAGCCGTTTCATGAGTGGCAGGACAGGGGTTCAGAAGCACATGAACAAAGAAGTCTAGAACTGAGTGTTTCTTGAGGCATTCCTGGTGAGAGCAGTCATACCGTATTTCCTATGTTCTCCCCTTTGATACGGGGAATGATATGAGAAGTCTGGGCTCAGGTCTACTGGAAGGACTCCTGTCTTGTGTTTTCCATACTCTGTGTCCACTGCCTTGACATGAGCCTTATTTTTTTTTATTCTGTATATATTTTTTTAATTTTCATTTTTATTATACTTTAAGTTCTGGGATACATGTGCAGAACATGCAGGTTTGTTTCATAGGTATACATGTGCAATGGTGGTTTGCTGTATGCATCAACTTGTCATCTACATTAGGTATTTCTCCTAATGCTATCCCTCCCCTGTACCCCACCCCACAACAGGCCCTGGTGTGTGATGTTCCCTTCTCTGCCTCCACGTGTTCTCATTGTTCAGTCCTACTTTGTTTACAAAGTGGCTTTGTTTACAAATTTGGCTTTATTTACACTGTGAGGGGAAATCTCCTACTTAAGCCTTAGTAATGGTGAATGCCTCTCCCTGCACCAAGCTCAAGCATCCCAGGTTGAGTTCAGACTGCTGTGCTGGTAGCGAGAATTTCAAGCCAGTGCATCTTAGCTTGCTGGGCCCTGTAGGGGTGAGATCCACTGAGCTAGACCACTTGGTTCCCTGGCTTCAGCCCCCTTTCCAGGATAGTGAATGGTTCTGTCTTGTTGGCCTTCCAGACACCACTGGGGTATGAAAAAAACTCCTGTAGCTAGCTCAGTATCTGCCCAAACGGCCACCCAGTTTTCTGAAAACCCAGCACTCTAGTGGCATAGGCACCGGAGGGAATCTCCTGGTCTGCAGGTCTTCTTAAGACTGTGGGAGAAGCATAATATCTGGGCCAGAATGCACCGTTCCTCATGGCACAGACCTTCATGGCTTCCCTTGGCTTAGGAAGGGACTTCCTCAATCCTTTGTGCTTCCTGGGTGATGCAATGCCCCACCCTGCTTCGGCTCACGCTCTTATGCTGTACCCACTGACTAACCAGTCCCAGTGAAATGAGCCGAGTACCTCAGTTGGAAATGCAGAAACCACCCACCTACTATGTTGATCTCAATGGTAGCTGCAGACTGGAGCAGTTCTTATTCAGCCATCTTATGGGCCACCTCTCATTATTCTATGAGCCTTATTTAGTATCCTAAATAAATTTTCTTTGTGTACTCTCTCAGCCACCAACTTATTCATAACATTTGAGTTACCTGCTGTCAGCATAGGCAGTTTACAGAGGTGAACCTATTCTCTCTGTCTCATAAATAATTTCATGCTGAAACAATATTTCCACAGCATTTCTGAACCAGAGAGGAAGTCATTACAAAGTGTTGAGTCATTACAAAGGTGGGGAGTGGGAGTCCTTGACAAGTGAAGATCGTCTCCGCTTTCCTCTTTGACTCTATGTAAGGATAACACAATACTTAGCCTTTGCAAGTTGTTCTTGCAAGTTCCTGTGTTACGTGCTTTTCACATCCAGATGGCCATTTGTTTTTCTGTGTTAGTAAAATGGCATTTTGGATTTTTTTTAAGGGGCTACATAGTTTTCTATAGTGTGAACATACAGGTTCACAATTCCTTATCCACAACTTAAACTTCAAAAAGGTCTGGAAACAGAATGTTTCCTTACAATTCACTTGGTTTACAGCCAAACTTTGCTGAACTCATTTGATACTGAAACCTACCTGAACCACCTCGAGGCTATTTACTTTTAACTCACTTATGTTAATGTTTGTATGTTTTGTGGAAGAAACAGTAATATATTTGATTATAAGGCACTGCCCCCAGTCCTTCTTGGGGATGTTCTGTCAAATACGGTAGATGTACGTACTACTTTTCTTAAAGTTTTACATTCCAAAATACACATGGTCTTCAGGGTTTGGGATAAGGGATTGGAAGCCTATTTTAGACATATGGGAAAGGATACATTTTTAATTTAAGGTTAAAATCATACTTTGTAAAAGTCATATTAAATAAAATCATACTTTGTTAACATAGGTAATATAGGAATTAGATCCAGCTATAGATACAGATATCACTTTGTACAAAACTGGTTATTTATGACTTCAGATTAATAGGACAGCCCTCATTCAACAAGAACTCGTTTTGTTATCTCTGTATGTTTAATTTGTCAAAGCTAAATTTTCAAGGCTGAATATTCATTGGTGTCTTTCTATTAGTCTGGGTTCTTGGGGAAGCAGATGCTAAGATAGGATTAAATGTGCAAGGATTTTATTTGGGGAAATGCCTGTGTGAAAGAAAATAGGAGCAAGATGGGGGAAGGCTGGGAGAGCTTTCAGACTGCAATGCCAGTCTGACCCCAAGTGAAGGAGAGAGGAAGAGAAGGTTGGCTGGAAGTGTCCTAGACTGTTGAGCAGTCTGAGAAAGGCTATCACAGGCCTGTGTCTCCCAGCAACAGGCCTGCCTTAGTATGCCTACTATACTCAGTGTTCCCAGTCACTGGCTGGGAGCAACCTGCGGGAGTGTAGCCTCAGAACGAATGTGGAGAGCATTCCAGAGTTTAGCAGCAGCAGCCCCAGCTCAGTAATGCTCCCTGTTGTTGGAAGTCTGCAAGGTGCATTTCCAAGGCCACTGCGATGGTTACTGGATTTCCATGGTTTTTCTGATTATAGATGTGTACAAGATGGTTGTATATATTTGCTTAGAGACCTCTTTGCTGGTGTGCAGAATATTC